GGTAAAATATGATGGATAGATGGTATTTCCGCTTAATTTGTGCAGTTAAAGCACTGTAACACGAACTACTTTCAGTCACTAACTTGCTCTGTCAGAACAAGCTCCCAGGGGAAGATTTGCTTTCTTGTTTCTAACCCAGTATTCACTTCCATTCTCCAGACAATGAAATTATAGCTGGCAGGCGGCTTCCTCCTGAGTGTAACGTTGAACTTCATACTGATTACGGTGGCGATGCAGTCAGGTGGGGCCTAACCCACCCTAAAGAATCTGCATATGAGTGTTGCATGGCCTGTTTGAATCAAGCTAAGAATGCTGGACCTAATGACAAGAAATGCAACATATGGGTTTATTGCCCATCTGAGACAGGATGCCATTCTCCGGATATTTATCAACACAAACATCAGGAGTGCTGGCTGAAATATGTTAGTTCTTGGCCCCCCTTCATTAAGTTTACTACCTACCATGCTTTTTCTCCTCCTTATGTCTGATAATTTAAGAATGATGACTAAAGCGGTCCCTTTGATTTGCTAATGCAGGCAGAGAAACCTAAAACGACTTTTAAGGACCGGTATCCTGAATCATACAGAAATGCCCACCCAAATGCACCAGTTGTTGTTCCATGGATGTCTGGTGTTGTCAGTGTATAATTTCCCGCTAACAAAATATAGTTACTAAGTCTTGAGGCCTTGGTGCTTCTATAGTGTTGTGATGGCGTATAAGCTCCACGTGAGGCCACTGTATCTTGAGATAATTGTGCAATCGGTATTCTTGAACTGCAGGCACAGCTGCTTCTCTTTTTGTCATGAAGCTTGGAACTAGAGTGTAACATTCTTTTGTATCACATGGTGGTTAGAGTGGTACACTGGTACTGGTAGCTGTTAGAAAACTGACTGACTGAATCCAAGGATATGTGGTTAGAATATTTGAAAGCTTTTTTCACCTGATGAAATAATATCAAAGTCATTACATTATTGTATTGCCCAAAAGGTACCACGTATTGGTACCAGATCAATTATGCCTTTCAAACAATGAATTCGCTTACTGCATCTTTGATGTCTCAAGGTGGGCTGATTTTTAGGCTATCTTTGTGGGAAATTTTACCTCCTACAGCAAAGGTGTATACTATACACCCTATTAATAATAAATCAAAATTATTTTAAAATATTATTTTCCATAGCTACCATTATATTTTATAGCAAAATAGGTATTTATGGTATATGCTACAATTGAGGCATGAGATACACTATTTATGATTTTTCACTCTTTCTTTCAATTAACACACAATTCTCTCTCAAAATTTTTCTTCTTTCTCTCTCTCTTCTGAGATAATATGCCGCGTTTCACTCTCTTCAAATCTCCTGTTATCTAATGTGCAGCTACATGGAAGACATTTTTATGGAAGATACATATTGGAGTTTCTCCCTTTTCCCTATCTTCTCTAGCTATTTTATGCCTTGAAACTTCCTTCAAATGAGATAATTTGTAACAGGGAGTTTCTTTTGCTGTTTGATTATTGCAAATGGCCTTTTACATAATTCTTTCTAATCAATGTGGTCTCTCTCTCACCGCTCTGAGGCTAGGGCTACTGCGCGGGGAGCAAAAATGATGTCGGGATAATCCGAGTAGAGTATGGTTACAGTAATACTGCATTACGCTGGAGAAGATTTGAGGGTCGAGATTTTTGTTCGTCTCCATTTTTAGTTTTAATATAATGTATATAGTACTTTGCTTGGCCGGAAAACGCATATCCGATGAACTTTCTTCTCTTCTTTGCAATTTAGCCACATACAATGATACAAATACATTGTATTCTTTATAAATTCACTCAAACACATTGTATTTTTGTATAACTATATTTTTTTGCCTGTATTTATGTATATTGAATGCCTGTATTTTTTAATACAACTGAATACACCTGTATTCATGAATACTGTACATATATGCATGAATACAGGATATGAACATTGACATACACTAAATACAAACATTAAAAAATAGAACAGAATATAAACAGTGAATACATTTAATTTTAAAATACAGTGAAATATAGTAAAATACACTGAATACAAATAGAAATACAGTGAATACAACCAATAAAATATACTGAATACATCAGTATAACATATATTAGGGATAACTAAAATACTGTTAATACAAATACATTTGAATATACAGAATATAAAATAGCGAATATAGTAAATACAAACATTGAATCTAATGAATGCAATGGTAAAAAAAAAATATATGAAACACACTAAATACAAAAGTTAAATACAATAGTTATATACAACTGAAAATTCACTCTAATTAATTGGGTTGATAATGAGGCATGTTAGAATTAATTTTGTTGAGTTATATTAGGATTGGGTTGATAATGAGTCATGTTAGAATTAATTGGGTTCATTCTAATTATATTATTTTCGTTATTAGACAGGTGGGCAAACTTATTTTTAAGGTGATTTCCGTTACTGTATTCATGAATACATGCGCGTACAACTAGACTGCCCTGATTTTTAGACGCTTTTTGCTGTTGTATTCATGAATACAGAAGCACGAATACAGTGAATACACTATCGTAATAACTGAATAGTAGTAAGTAATTATGTATATGATAGTAAGTTAATTGCAACTAAGTAATAGTGGTTTCTGAAAATTATTATTTTAGAGATCAAACAAATATATGTTTATGAAAAGAAAACAGATATTTATTTTATTTTATAGGGAGGAAAGGCTACCAAACCTACCAGAAAGAAGAAAAAAGAGAGAGTTCCTTGAATGAAAAGAGAGAGGAAGAATAGGGGAGTATAAGGGAAGTGGTCAGCCCTCGCGAGCTTAGAGGCTATCAAACAATTCGATACAGTTCAGTTTCAAAGGTTCAGTCTTTTCCTAGTCTCTTCTCATTTTCTGCTTCTTTTTTTAATCCAAATAGTAACAATTTTGCAAATTTCGCAATTGTTTAATCTTATGGATTTGTTGTTAGCAGTGGTTTACTGCCTTTAAATACCAACTTTTTTTTCCCTGAAAAAGTTTCAATTTTCATTTTTCTTGATGGGGTTTTTGTTATTTCTCTTTTGTTATCTGAAATTTGAACAAGTTGTATGTTGGGTCTCAACGAATATTGGAGTAATGAGCTCAACAAAATAAAAAATGATAGATAATATTTTCCGGAATGAAAAGCCATTTGTTAAAGATTGAAATAATGTTAGAATTTCACATAATGTTTTGATGATACTCCCTTTGTTCCAATTAATGTGAACCTATTTTCTTTTTGGTCCGTTTCAAAAAGAATGAACCCTTTCTAAATTTGGTAACAATTTAGGTTAAACTTACAATTCTACCCCTTAATGAGAAGCTTTTATAACCACAAAAATACTCTGGGCCCTTTTTTGACTTGTTTAGGACCACAAATTACAAAAGTTTTCATTTTTTCTTAAACTTCGTGCCCAGTCAAACAGGTTCACATAAATTAGAACGGAGGTAGTATTTGAGTAGTAATTGTCTCTTATCTTTGAGGGTAGGTCTATTTTGGTCTCTCAAATATAACCCTGAGCATATTTAGTCCCTTAAGTATGCTAAAGTGGAGCATCTTTAGTCTCACTAACACAATGTGTTCAAAAACTAACGGTGATACCCAACTCTGATTCATGAAGCAAATCTTCTACTCTAAAGCAAAACGTTTCCTCTCCTTTTATTGGATAACGCAAATTAGCATTTTAATTTCTCATTTTTAGATAATGTTTTCTAAAATTTTGACCTTGAAAATATCCCTTTCCGTGCCAGTTTTCAATGAGAAAATGACACTGTATAGCGCTGTAAAAATAATAGTCGAAATATATATATATATATATACACAAAAATTATACAAATTCTATATACTTTTTTGGCTACCAGATGTAAATAGTTTCTGACCCGGGCTAAAAGTGATAATACAACCTGGTTATTCGTTTGCTTCAATAATATGCCTAGAAATGATCCTCACAGCTCTATTTTTTCAAATTTAATCTTTTCGTTTTGAAAAAATCAACCAAAATTTTTAAAGGTATATATATATATATATATATATATATATATATATATATATATATATATATATTTTAATATATTTTTTCGGCTATTATTTTTACAGCGGCTATACAATGTCATTTTCTCATTGAAAACTGGCACAGAAGAGGATATTTTCAATGTCAAAATTTTAGAAGACATTATCTAAAAATGAGGAATTAAAGTGATAATTCGCGTTATCCAATAAAAGGAAAGGAAACGTTTTGCTTCAGAGCAGAAGATTTGGTTCATGAATCAGAGTTGGGTAACACCGTTAGTTTTTGAACACATTGTGTCAGTGAGACTAAAGGTGCTCCACTTTAGCATACTTAAGGGACTAAATATGCTCAGGGTTATATTTGAGGGACCAAAATAAACCTACCCTCAAGATAAGGGACAATATTAGTCAGAAACTCTAGTAAAGATTTATAATAATGTCTGGGTGTTGGTTGAAGAGAGCATTGATATGAGGTTAAGTGTTGACATAGTCGTGAAGAAATATGACTCCTGCCCATAAGTAAGAGGAGTCATTTTTACCTTCTGGTGGAAAAAGTATATCATTGAAGTATATTTTCTGGCAATCAAACACCAAAAAATGACTTATGTTCTAGAAAATATTTTCTCGTCGCATAGGCGATGCTACTACTTTAATATGAATGAATATTAGGGTGGAAGAAAGCACACAAGGCCAGCACATTCCTAATAGCCTCTGCGTTTGAAAAGTTAATCCCGTAGGTAGGCTATCAACTATTCCAGCGGAAAGGGCGAAGCTTATTTGTATATTTTCTTCTCGCTCTAACATCTAAAGGCCTGCAGGAACTTGACTTAAAGAAGACTGTATTGTTTTGTGGTTTCTCCACGTTACTTTGAAGGGGATGTAACTAGTAAAGTTGCTGCCATGTGACCTGGAGGTCACGGGTTCAAGCCATGGAAACAGCCTCTTGCAGAAAAGCAGGGTAAGTCTGCGTACAATAGACCCTTGTGGTCCGGTCCTTCCCTGGACCCCGCGTATAGCGGGAGCTTAGTGCACCGGGTTGCCCTTTTTACTTTGAAGGGACGTGGTTTCAAGTTTTGCAGCAAATTGCTTTCTCTATTTCCATCTCTAGAGGTTACTGGTTTAGCTCGTGCATTTATTTTAGGTATAGCTTAACAAGTTTTACTCTTCTTCTTCGTAACAAGAAATGAAAGTTATGTGTTCCTGTGGAATTTGCTTGACATTTGCTGGTTCTGATTTAACGGGAATTCAATCATTTTTCCCCAAGGTCAGCTAACTCTAATTTTTCTTTAGTGTTACCTATGCTAGTTGCCTTTTCACTTTAACCCTTGACCCTCTATGTCATTTCCTTGGTTCAACTGCTTGTCTTTCTATTTGACTGAGTAGGCGGGTAAACAATATGAACTTCCTGTGATTGATTTATCTGGCTCAGTGGCAGGATAGAGTTGGGGCTATACTTGCAATTCTTGTCAAGGCTTCTTTTCTGTATACTCTCTCACAATACAATCTCTTTGCCTTTTTACTTCATTGTACAAAATAGCGAAAATAATTACAACTGCAGAAGTCAACTTTAATTTTGAGTTCTGCTGTACAGACTTTGTTATTTGAAATACCATTATCAACTGGGAAGATGGAGATGGGCTCTGGAGAAGAGCGCGCTCACTGGAGCGTCTTTGATAAGGTTAAGACTATTCCTGCTACACCTGAAGCACTAATGGCTCAGATAAACAGTGCCATATCTGCCCTTGAGTATGCTCGTGCTGCAGCTTTGTTGCAGTCCCCATGTTCTCCAATCTCCAACAAGAAGAATTTATCAAGAAGTGCGAATCCAGCATATGATGCTCGAGGGGCAGATGAAGCTTATAGGGCAGGTTTAGCTGCCATGGCTGCTGGGAAGCCTGGAAAAGCTGTTGATTCTTTGAATGTTGCCCTTTCCAAATGCCCCCCCGAGAAGACTTGTGCTGTTGCTAAGATTCAATCGCTTATCTCAGTTATATCCAAACCTCAGAAGTCTTCCAAATGATCTGTTGCCACCTCTTCCATCTAACTTTTGGTATTACATATTGCAATTGTTCCTTCCATGAAACTACTTCTCGTGCATTTTTTCTTTTTCTTTGTTAGGTGTTTCTCCTTCATTACTTCAAAGTTGATGCGTTTGCACATACTTTTCCACAAACATAATCTTTTGTGCTGTGATCCAGGCGTCACTCGTCATTGGTTGGTCCAGTATGTTGGCCCCTGGAAGCTGTGGCAAAAGTAGGAGATGGTGGGTTGATTGGTCCAGTATGTTGGCCCCTGGAAGCTGTGGCAAAAGTAGGAGATGGTGGGTTGATTGGTCCAGTATGTTGGCCCCTGGAAGCTGTGCCAAAAGTAGGAGATGGTGGGTTGTTTGGTCCAGTTGTTTCCTCCTCTACTGCTTTATTGTACTTGATTGCATCTCCTGCACATGAGAATTCTGAACAAGTCACACCCTATGCTTAGCTACTGTCTGCTCATTGGTTTTGGAATGGGCATCAAAACGCTGGAGTATGAGACCACCTATCCATTTTTTCTTGTGAAGATTCAGTAGCATCTTCTCTTCAACTTCATTCTTTCTGTAATTTATGGCAATTGAGTAATAGTGTTTGGTTACCCTAAAAATTGGATAACAATTAAACTTACAATATGGTTTTAAGGATATGTGATTTCACCTAATACTAAACGTAAAGATAAGTGATGCAAATTGACAATAATATAAAGCAAACCAGCGTTTGGACGGAGCCCTCGAGCTCGGACTCCCTCGATCTAGTTATGCAAGAATAGTTAAAGGCACAATAAGCTGATGACTTTACAAAATGATTAGGATCCTTTTATATAGTAGAGGAATCCTCTTTAAGATACAATTCTAACTATGGAAGTAAATTCCATGATTAGCTAGATAATCGTCCTTGATTTGATTCGTTCCGAGATTTACGCCATGATCTCTGGCCAGTCACTGATATCTCGCCTTTCCATTACTACGTCTTGTTCGAAGTCTGTCACATTTGGTCTTGGTCGTTGTTGGCCTCGATCTCGGCAGGCACCTCGATCCTCGGACTCGATGCCTTGTTTTCGTGCTCTAATTTGATTCGGGCAATGCACAATATTTCTTTCAATAGATCATTCATGCGTATATGTTTTTCATTAGGGTTTGGGCAATCTACTAAGGGTGTACTGTAGGCCGGGCCTAGCCCGGTACCGCGAGCTAACGGGCCTAACGGGCCGATCCAAACGGTCCTAAAAGCCCACTGTGGGTCGGTCCTCTATGCTGAGACCACGAGCCCGGGATCGTTTAGCCCAGCACCGGCTGGCGGGCCTGGGCCGGTTCAAACGGGCCTAACGGGCCCAACGGCTATTTTTTAAATTTTTTTTGTTTTAAATAAAGGCCAACGGTTAGAAGTTTAAAAACTAGCCGTTGGCCTGCCAATTTAGCCGTTTGGCTTTTTAAAAAATAGCCATTTGGCCCCCAAACTTTGTTTTAACCCCAAACTTTTTATAATTACACTTTTTTCCTTTTCTCAACTATAAATATCCTCTCATTCTTTCATTTTTACTCACAAAATCATCAATCTCTCTCTAATTTTCTTCTATAATTGCTTACTTTATTATTGCAATTTGTGAAAATTTGTGAAGTTGGTGAATTGAAGTATTAAAGTCTTCAACGATATACAATTTTCAAGAAGTTGTTCGTCAATTTGGTAAACTCGTTCCAACTCTTAAGTTTTAATATTATAGTTTTGTTTGTTTTAGTTTGTATAATTATAATTAATATGGCCTTTTCTTTGAAAAAAATGTTTGGTGGTAAGGGAAAATCTAAAATTGGTAAATCTAGTCGCCAAGCTACTACCCCTCCCCCGGCTCCCCGACCCAGACCTGTTACCCGTCCTCCTCCACCTATTATTCTTGATAGTGATAACCCTTGTTTTCAATTTAGCGATAGTCAATTTTGCCATGATGTTGCACCAGGTCAATAATTAAATGATGAATATATGAATGCTCTTTATCCTAATGAAACTATTGATGAAAATGATGAGGAAAATGATGATTTAGATGAAACGCAACCGGATTTAGATGATACACCTACTAGTCATGTTGTTAACCCAACTGATAATAATCCAAATGATGCCCCGCCTACCCTCCTATAGTAACCCCTACTTTTAATAGACAACGTTCTAAACTCCCCGAAACATCTCTTGTTTGGCACTTTTTTACTCAACTAAGAGAACAAAATAAGGCTAAGTGTAAAACTTGTTGGGTCTTTGATGACTCATAAATATGCTGGAGACCGTAGCGGTACAGGTAGTTTGACTAGACACATAAAGACAAACCCTAGAGATAAAGCTAGATATCTTCAAATGAAAGCGCAGCTAGAGGGGAGAAGTGTAGGTACTGAGGTTAACCCTAGTACTGGGTTAAATCTAGTTCAACCGGGAATTAATACTGTTACCGGTGGCATTTTATATTACGATCCAAATAAAGATCGTGAAGAATTAGCAAAAATGGTTACTGTTATGTGCTTACCCTATAGTTTTCCTTCTAACCTCACTTTGTGCATTATATTAGAAAAGTTTTTAATCCTACTTATAAAGGATGGCCTCGCGCAACCGTAAAGAGCGATATTTATAAATATAAACATGAATATGAACAATATTTGCGGTATTTATTTACTCATATAGATTGTCGCATTGCTATTACCACTGATATTGGTAGAAGTGGTAATGACTATGATTATATTACTGTAGCCACTCATTGGATTGATGAGGAATGAAAAATGCAAAAACGCATTATTGCTTATAGAATAATTAATTCACGTCACACAGGTAAGTTTATTGGTAACACAGTTGCAGATATTTGTAGATATTTTGCATTAGAGAGAAAATAATGTCAATTTCTATGGATAATGCTTCTAGTAACACTAATGCTATAGGCTTGCTTACAACTACACTAAATCCTGCATTTAGTAATTGTTTCCATGTTAGATGTATTTGTCATATTTACCATTTAATCATCGGTGATGGTATGAGAATTTTAAATTTAGAAATTGAAAAGGTTAAAATGGCTCTTAATTGGCTTTTTTATTCAAACCGTAGAAGTAGACTTAGAGAATATTTTAAAAAATGTGATGAATTTGGCTTTAGAGAGAGAAAGGTTCCTAAAGCTTGTCCGACTAGATGGAATTACATGTACGAAAGTTTAGTTGTTGCATATGAATATAGAAACCCAATAAACGCAACGTTTAATGCTCGTGTTGGTGGTGAGGATGATGATGAAATCCTTACAAATCAAGATTGGACTAATGTTAAAATTCTTATAGATTTTTTAGAACAATTTTATATTGCTACAAATGAATTATCTGGGCAATATTATCCTACTATTTCAAACTCTTAGGTTTATATTGCAGCACTATGTGATTTGTTTGTTCAATTTTCAGAGGGTGGGGTAATTTATCAACTTGCTATTGATTCTATGAAAGAAAAGTTTAAAAAATATTTTTTCCCTATCCCCCCTATTTATGGTATTGCTGCCATGTTAAATCCTACCATGAAATTAGGAGGTCCTCACTTTTGGTATTCAAATATTTATAAGGCTTTAGATCTTTCAGATGAGGAATTTGCTACACTTGCAGATGCAAAAGCCTCAATTAAAATAAATGCTCAAACAATTTATAATGCTTATCAACTTGCCTTAGATCATGCTAGACCAAATGTTCCAACTCCTACTTCGTCTAGTTCGCAATCATCTAAAAGAACTGTGGGCCTAAAAGCACTTAGTTCTTGGACGGAGTTCAGGGGTTCTCAAGGTGATAATATTGGTGATACTTCACATCTAAATGAGCTTCAAGTTTATTTGTCGCAGGGCCTTGAAAAAGAGAATCCAGACGGCACCTTTGATCTTTTGGAATGGTGGAAGGGCAAAGAAAAATACTTTCCGGCTCTTTCAAGGATGACTCGAGATATTTTATGTGTTCAAGCTTCAAAAGTGGCATCAGAGAGCGCTTTCAGTCAAGCGAGACTTCAAATCGGTAATCATAGAGCGTCTATGAGGGAGAGCTTGGAAAAATCAGTACTCTTCAGAGATTGGATCCGTTCGGAAAGAAGAAATTTTGGACTTGCTGAATCACAACCGGAGATAGACAAAGCTTATGAAGAAATGCTAGCGGAACTTGCGGAGGATGTTGCTTTGCCCGGAAGCGGTGATGAACAAGCTTCTTTTCCGCCACTACCAACAGAAATTCCTCCGAACCTTGAAGGATTTATGAAATTTGTTAGAGATAATATGTAGACTAATATGTAACTTGTATTTTGGCACATCTTCATTAGTTTTTTTCCTTTTAATGGTGGTATTAGCACCTTGTTGTGCTCATTCCATTGGGGGGAGGAAGACTAAGAAATATATGCCATTTTTGTTAATGTCGTAATAATAAAAATTATATGGCATTCCCTTGAATATTTCTTTGCAATTGTTTTTTGTGTTTAAATTTGAATTAGAAGATTTAAGTCACAATTCTATAATATATTTACAAGAAATTATCTATCTATCTATATATATANNAAAAAAAAAAATAGCCCGGAACACTTAGGCCCGTTTAGGCCTGTGGGCCCGGCCCATTTAGCCCGGGACCATGTGGTCTTAGGCCCACAGTGGGCCGGTTCCACCCATTAGGCCCGATAAGCCCGGGATCGTTTGGCCCGGGACCGTAAGGACCGGCCCGTTTGGCCCATTTAGGCCCGTGCCAAGCCCAGAAAGCAGCCTTACAATCTACGTGGCATGGTTCATTTGACTGTTTCGGCCTTTACAATATTTTCCTATCGAGACCCTGTTGACACGAAGCATCTTCCTTGAAAACACAACATCTGAGGGCGATGGCCCCCAGTATTCGAGGTTGATTGTAAAGAAGTCTCGGATACTGTTGAATTGTCCCCAGGTAGCAAAAATAATTGTTGCCTCGTTAAAAACCTCGCCGGAAAAACCCATTTGGGACAAAAACCGATCTAAGAGAAAAAGAGTGCAACGCGTGCTTTAAAACACGAGGTTTTTGTGTTGAAGAATTTCCCGATGTCTTTGATCGAACACCTGTAATAAGTTAGTATCGAATATAAACGAAAAAGGGAGAGAGTCATACCTTAGCAATAGTATCGTTTGAGGAGTGATATGTTCCAATTATTTGGCAGTTGTTCGCCATTCATCGTGCCAAGCTTGTAAGATCCCTTTCCGATGACACCGAGGACCTGATATGGTCCTTCCTAATTTGGGTCGAGTTTCCCCTCGTTTGGATCTCGAGTGTTGAGGGTGACTTTCCTAATAACTAAGTCCCCTATTTTGAAATGTCGAAGATTGGATCTTCGATTATAATATCTTTCGATTCGCTGGGCGGCCATTCGAACGAGGGCGACGCCCCGTTTTTTGTCTAGCAGTTCGAGGCTTGTGTTCATAGCCTCGTTATTTGATTCTTCCATTGTGTATCGAAACTTGACGCTTGGTTTCCCAAATTCGACCGGGATCAGAGCTTCGACGCCATATACTAAGAAGAACGGCGTTGCCCCCGTACTGGATTTTGTTGTTCGATGTCGACGCCCCCTTTTTCTCGCGAAATCGGGTTTACGACATTTGGGCGGACAACTCTTTTCCCTTTTGGGAATTGGGTCTTGGAGTTTGAAG